CACAGCCAGTGAATGACGCGATGGTAAATCCTTTGTTTTCACATAGCTCTTCGAAGAAGAGGAGGAAAAAAGCTCATTCGCTTTGTACCCACGTTGAACGCATTTCGGTTCACGCCCAGGCTTTCGTTGACGCTTCGAAGGAAGAGCGACCGTCGTGGAACGACGACGCGTCCATGAATAGCGGGTCATGCAAATTTATCAATTTAGCGGGTTGATGCAGCTAGTTGTCGTGACTCTGTAATCCCGACGCCCAGATGAACTGGCTCGGACCGTAAAGGCCTCGTGATTGTTTGTACGCTTTACTCGTTGCGAGCAATCTGCGAGTTCGTCTACCCGTCTCGGCCGACGTCGAACAGTCATTCCAGTCAATGATATATTGCGTCCACGCGAACGGATTAGGGTAATTCGAACGGTTGAACGTATTACGTTCTGGGTTCCAAGTTAAAGACGTAACATTCTAGTTTCCGCCCTGAGGTGGACGTTAATAGCATTAGAGTACAGTAAATCATGGATAAGTGTTCGAAGGCTTTTCGGCAGGATCTCCCATTGAACTAGTCAAGCACCCAATGATTTACTGTATATCAACCAGGCCAGGATTAAGTAGATATATTCAGAAAGGGGGTGAACAAAAGAGGTGGTATTACTCCTGATAATCAGAATCACTAGTCAGACTAATCCTAATAGGGCCTATAGTTGGTGATCCTATAGAGGTATTTTTTCTGTGGTTTATTTATTTTTATTTGATTATAAATTCTTTCGAATCATCCCAGGAACCCCTCCTTTCCGTTAGTCGAAGCTATTTTACACCCTGTATATGTCTCTGCCTAGACCAGCGATCCTTCGAGCCCCGTGTGTCTGTCAGTGACATAACAAATGCCATCGTGTCCCTGGTAATGCCGAAAATGAGATCGTTCGAGTGAAAACGAAGGGCGAGACACCGCTCGGTTCTAAGCAGGGGCGAAACAACGCGTGTCGTCCCATGGTGGGGGCAGAGACTTGTCCGTCGAGTAGGTTCCATATCTCCGGAAATCTCGAGAGGAGCGAGAGCTTAGGCACAGAGCACGACGACGGTGGTCGAAGAAGGTGTATACACGTTCCTTTTTTTTTTTTTTTTTTTTTTCCACCAAGACGCGTCGGCCTCGAGGAAGGTTTTATTCTCGATGTCGACATTCGTCTGTCGGCGTCGCGCACCCGCTCTCTGTTCTAGGAGTCATTGCCCTCCCCCGGTCTATCCCGGAGGTTCTCACGCGTGTTTCCATACACCGGTGCCACACGGACATGTGGTGGGTACGTGTTCGTGTCACCTGTCTGCGAAAACAGGTGCCTATTCAACCGGTGAGATCGCTTCGTCCCGCTCTCGTCCCTCCGCCACGCCTGCCACAACCGACTACGACGCATTGCCCATTGAAAAAGAGTGGCTTAGCGACCCAGGGTTGAACTACGCGGGGGTGGCTAGCACGGGTGTGTGATAGAGTGCACCATCTCCACATCGCTTCTAATGGCTTTTTCAGAATTGCCTCGCTGTTCACAGCGAATCTTCGATGAGCATTCGAAGGCAGTGAACATTAAATATTTCATAAACTAATGGCCATATGCGGCTGAAAGAAATATTATTGGCCTCAGAATTCCAAGCTCTAGCATTGTGCTAAATCTCATTAATGTACGCTCATTTTTAGTGCTAAGGAGCTTTTGGACGTTCATCGAGGATTTACTGTATACCCCATGGGTGATCGACCTGTTTCCCTGGCTGCCCCTGCGTTTTTTCTTAACGATCGTATCGGTCCAGATTCCAACACGTGGGGATCCGATACGTCCGAACTTTTGCTCGACTTTCGAACGGAAAACTAAGGCCCCACGATGAAAACTGGTCTCTGCTGGTGATAACCTGACACGGAATATCGCGTTTGTGTTCCAGCCAGCCCAAATGCCAGTCCAGCACGCGAGCCTTTTGAAAAGCACCGTCTCGAGAGCTCCTTGGTACGAGCGTAAGTATCCGGCGGAAATGAAATGGTACTCGGCTCCTTCGTTTTCGCGCCAGTCGATCCTGCGCGGGAGCTCTTGGACAGTCGGCCTCTGGCTCGATCGGTTACTTGATTCGCGATGTTTGCACCGGCGGAGCCGTTCGCGTAATTGGATATCCACTTGAAGCATTGGATATTCTTTTTATAACTGCGGAAGGTCGCGTCGCGAGAACGGATCTCGTCTTCCTTTCTCTCTTGTTTCGAACCTCTGGTTACCTAATGCTAACAAGACGAATCTTTCGCAGTTCCGTTCTAATGAAAAACAGTACCTTCTCTTTATACTTCTTCTTGGTTGAACGATTCCCTCCATGACAGTAAATAAGTAGGTACTACTGTAGTCTTCGAAATACGATAGACGAATAAAACGATCGAAGAATAAGAAACGCACGAAGGAACATTCGTTTCTAAAGATGACGATGCAATGCTAACTTCTGAAATAATTCATTGATCATTTTTTCATGATCAATATTTCTTAATTTTAAAATAAAATTCGTATTTTGGTAAATAATCTGGTTAAACAGAAGGTAAAATGAAATGTAAAGGTCAAATAGAAGACTTGTGAATCGTTGTAAATCTGACACCGCGACCACCCGCGAGATTCAAGTGCAACCCCCGAAGAAACGAACCGCCTTCGATACGCTCTGCGCGTCAGACTGGCCAAAAGCCATTATGTTTACCAGTGCAGACCCACACGTAGGGCTCTCGAGAGTGCATCGCACAGGCCACGAGCGAAGAAGATTGAAACAGGGGGGGCCGATTCGCGGGAACCGCGCGCGTGTGTTCGCGAGAGTGGAGAGTATACGCGAAAACCGATATAGGTAAAAGCGTCGGTGATATAGACGGCGGGGCGGGGTGGTCGGTCCGATATAGACGCGAAAAGCGTATTGCATCGCTGTGGCTCGATCGAACCGACACGACAGGAGGCACAGAGTAGACAATTTAAACACTCCAGGTGGTGAAATTTATTAAGGGACCGTGTTCATCAATTCTTGCTGTATGTAATTTTATTTTTTCAATATTTTTGCAGTTTTAGCGAGTATTATAAATATGTGATAATGAAATAAAATCACACAAATAAAAGGAATAAGGTGGTAACGATAGAAGCTTCTAACATTTAATAACTTTACATTGCCAAGAATATGCAAATACCGATTATAGAGAATATACAACAAAGCATTGTTTAGCTATGTAACCAAGACGATTTCGATGAAACTAGGTTCTTTATAATGTCTATTTTAACCCTCGAATCGTAGGCTGAATGTAAAAGGAACATTATTATCTTGAACTTGTATTTTTGATTATTTACACAATTGAGTTATAGTACATAAGTATTAAATATTTACTAAATTAGTTTGGAGCACAAGTGGAGTAGACATAGGTATAAGCGTCCGAGGCCGCCATTTCTCTAACCTTTGCTCGGTTTTGCGTCGCGGTCTCGCTCGCGCGACGTTCTCCTCCCTCCCAGCCAGTCGCAGCGCGCCATTCTCTCGGCCAACGTGCTTGCTTGCTCGCTTTTCTTTCGTGTCTTCGATTCTCTCGGGCATCGCAAGAGATCCCGCCTTTTTCCGTTTCCCGCCTCAAACACGACCGCGTGGGCGATCAACAATACACAACGACTGATTGCTTTTCTTGAGTTTCTATGCTCGATTGTAAGTTTACTCCATTTCCATCACGAAACGGAATTATTGCGTGCTCTCTGTATCACCAAACACGGTTCGAGTTTTACTGTTGCCGTTGTACAATTCAATTATAATTATATTTATTTTATTGCCATTTCCGTTGTCACGCAAATGGGTTAACCATTCAGAGTCCGCTTGATTATCGTCTAGGGGTTATCCCCACCACTAGGATGGGGGTCGGGCTTCAAAGATCGAATTTATGAGGGTCAGAAGTTACACGATTATTGTCCCGACGCAGACCCGAGTTCGGGACGATAATCGATAGGAGCCTGTAGTTGGTTCACTAGTTTTTCACCTGTGAATTCCCAATTATCGCCCCTCCCCCCGAAGTCTTGAAATATTCTCACGTATCTAGAACCATGGTGGTTATTTGTGTAAGCATCGAACGTAAAAAAGGACACGTTTCATTGCGCTCGGTCGATCGATTCTTCGAATCGCGTGAAATATCCGTGAAAAAAAAACAGGACACGGAGAGAATCGCACGAAGATGGTCCCTGTGAGTCATGATCTCCTCGAACGGCTTCTCGCGGTGGCCGGCATGCTGTCTTCGTGGGCCGAGCGCATCCTTTGAACGCGATCCAGTGTGGTCAGACACGATCCGAACGTCTTCGATTCCCGTCACGGTTCTGAAGATTCCTTTCCCCGGTGGATTCCCATCCGATACGAATCTTTCTATCCCGTCTTTTCCGGGGTGGAGTCCGTTGCCAGAAAATCAAATGTTGGACGGTACTCTTGAACCTGCTCCAAAACGCCTAGCGACGCCCTATTCACGGTGGAGCACTCAATTCCCATTGTAAGACTGTTCTACGGGTATCGCCTGAAATTCCTCTGGCAGACAATATGGACGACAGAGAAATGGAACGAACGTTTGTGTCGCGTTTGTGCCTACATATGACGTCGATCCGTTACGGGAAAGAAAGCGTTGTTTCACCGGAAGCTCGTTGGAGCGTTAACAGATATTGACTCACGACGCTTGGTGTAATTAGTTCCAATTGGTAATTCAATCGCGACCTCTTTCCCGCCACGGCTCCGAGACCGGACGAGCAAAAGGATGCATACCCTGAGACCGATTCCTCGAGCCGGAGCATCGATTTCTCTGGCTGGCGTCTAGTCGAGTCTAAAGGTACGTTTTCACGTGACAGTAAAAGTCATGACTTTCATCGTCATAACAGTTAATGTCACGAGCGTAAAAGTCACGATTTTACTGTCACGTGGAGACGTACCTTAAGCCCAGCAATCCTCTCTCTATTTCCCGTTTCCGGTCTAAGAATCGCCTTGGTTTTCTTTATGTTTCGCCCAGGTGAACGGAGGCAAAACGATGTTGTCGTACATGCTGCCAACGGAAGACAAGCCGCCACCGGGAGACTCGAATCAGGCGAACAACCATCGGGCTGGTAAGCTGCAGAAGAGCCCGAGGGGGCGTCCTCACCTGGCCACGAGGCCACCGATCACCGTCTCGCCGAGAAATCACACGGACACCACCAAAATGATGATCGTCCCGACGAAGATCGAGGAGCACTCTGATCAGCAGCAACACTATCACCACCATCAGGGACTTCCGGTGCACGAAAGCAGCCCGAAGCACAACGGCACCGTGGTAAAGAAGTCGACGTTGCACACCTCGAAGGTCACCAAAGACGACAGCTTGTACAGCATCAACAGCGACGCCAGCAGCACGGTCGGCTGCGATCGGAAGAACAAAATCTTCAACGGGGCGAAGCACACTAGTCTGAAAAGGTGAGAGGGAAACAATTGTGACGAATACACCGGGCATAAACTATCCAGATAGTCGGGATATCCAAGTTCAATCGCTGTATTCAATCGCTGTTAATCGAGTACAAATCGCTGCTTCGTGATTGTTTTACGTTAATCGTGAAAGGTTTTGCTTCCGCATACAGGTGTGGAACTCGAACGGAAAGTACACAGCTGGCAGAGGGCGCGAAGCGTTCGTGTGCGCGTGCGGAATGGTTGGAACGTTTACGCGCGTTGGTTCAACCACGCTGTGTGGCCCCAGTGAAACGGCGACGGAGGAAAATCGGGCGACGTAGAGTCGCCGTTCACTGTCAAGGTTCGGAACGTGTTTGGATGCGTTGGCTCGAGTTAAAATTATCCTCGCACGACTCGAAAAACACCGCCGAGTTGTACCAACAGTGGTCTCTTTTGTTCTTTTGTTTTTTTTTTTGGTTTCGTTGCCCGTGAAGTCGTGCGCGGTTAAGCGATCGAATTATAGTCGTCGTCGTCGTCGACCTTCAGAATTCGCGTATCACGCTACCGGGTTGGAAGAAAAGCCAAACGATGATTCTCGCGTTGGTATATATCATCGGAGGTTGCTTTACAAAGCAAACACGATCGAAGTCTCCTCGACGAACGGGCGGAGAATGTCGTACAGTATTACCGGTTTGCAAAGCCGTCTTTTGCAGCGCATCCCACTGGATACTCCCGTGACATTTACATGTTGGGTAGGTCACGGTCATGCGACCGTCTTGTGGACTATGCTAGAACAAACCCCTAAGCTATACATACAGCGAATAGAGTTACGTGTATACGAGCTCTGAAAAAATATATTGGGTGTCAACTTAATTGATCCGAAACTTCAGTAAACATTCCTCTGTTTCACTCTCTTTTCATACGTAAGTGTGGTACATATTGGGAAAGCCTCGTGAGGCGATTTTATTACATTCTTTTAAGATCTTTTGAAAGACGTTTTTTTTTGTATTTGTTAGATATAATGGAGAAGAACTAAATTCGAAATTTTCTATACAGTTACCTATATAGTACGATTTACGCAATTTCCCTTTTGTATAACAATTATTGCTGTTGTCTGAGTCACCTCGCGCAATAGGAAGTACCTTCAATGAATGAAATTCGCGTTTCGATGAAAGAAAAGGAGAGAGCGACGCGTGGGCAGATGGTTGCGAATTATAGTTGCGTCATCAACAACTGTTTGAAACGGTGACACAGATCGGTCGTAAATAGGGTGGGGGGCTCCAGACAAAAGGATAGAATACTTTGTACGCAGATGTTGTAACGTTCGATTTTGTGTAGATACGATGCTCTTTGTTGGATGTTTTCACCTTGTTAAAAGTGATTTTCAAGCGTAAACAATGTTTGTTTGTTTAAACGGGACAGTGGGTATGAAGCCACGTGAGTCCTTATGACGTATCGGTGTGTTACCCTTGAATCATGTAGTTCTGTTGAACGGTCTTCTCGTCACGTGGCAGCACCGGGCACCGGCAATCTAGTCTGGATCAGAACCTCGTTTCGTGAGTAAAAGAAGGGTTCTGAACACGGCACGGTGGCTGCAAAATATTGATCCATCAAGTTGAACAGAACAACAGTTGTTTTTTGTAAAGTCGTAAAGTATATCGTTCAATTTCGTTACGTAAAAATTCGTATCTTTACAATCACGCTAATAATTACAAACGGACTTCGACAAATAGGAGTTATTATTTTCCATGTCATTTTCAAAGGTCGATGCTACCGTGCTCTGGACACAGCCGTAAGATAACCGTGCAGACTCGCAGCTTTAATCTCGACCGTGCTTGATCGGCGTAACCAGATCTCTCCGATCGCGGGATTTCGATTTTGATATCAGACCGCCCGCTGCTGCGGTTACCGAGTGTCCGATTCACTCGCTTCGAGCGCTGTCACGCGATAGGAAATTGAGGTTTACGGGCAACGATTTTTTTGGCTTTCCACGCAGCTAACTGGACATATAATTTTTTTTCTTCTCTCGAATCGATGCCCCCGTCCATTGCAGGTACGCTTCTTCGTAGATCCACCACCGCTCGACTCGAGAACTTGGCCGTTGCAAGACACAGGAAAGATGACTCGAGAATGGTCTTGAACTGGACTATTTGCGATACGTTTTATGCAAATGGGATCGAAACCAGTTGTTTAAGGTAACATTCCGTTTTCTATCCCACAGAGTCTCCTTCGGCTCGAGCAAAGGATCGATGGTGGAAACATTAGTATACGAGACACCTGTTCAAGAGGAACCGGAGATCAATCATTTTTTGGACCATAACGGACGCATACCCTCTATGATCGCAACTGTGCCCGATACCGAGTAAGTAAACACGTTATTTTTCTGGTCTCGTGTTTGGCTGATTATGCGCACACGTCGGAATTTGCGCGTCATCTGTCGCGTGATAACAGTACCGGTATAACGTTCCGTGCGTTTGTGCTCTTGATCATACAGAATTGTTACCACCGCGTTGAAAATTATACCACTTAACTGTTACCGCGCCATAGGAATAACAAAAGGTAACAGGGCATCCCAGCGTACTCATTTCTTAACGTCAATTCAAATTTTAATGAATACAAACAATTTCGATTTTCTACATTGAAATGAATGATGGGTATCATTAGCGTCGCAATTCGATGATTTGGACGCTTCCGCCCACGCACGAGCTCCTTCTAATAGGCTACTACTTGTCGCCTAGTGCGATCATTATCATGTTTGATCTTGTTAACCAGTGAGGCGCGCGCATGGAATATTTAATGTCGTTTTTCGGGAACAAGTATCGCATTTAGGATTATATTTCGTTAATTGCGAAACAACGATTGTACCTGCAACCGTTGTTTCTTTTCTTTTCTCATGGTTTTATGAATATCATTTCTTCGAGTAATCTATCCGCCATAACGGCTGGCATTCGTCGAACCAGTGCACGGTCAAAGAACGATACAAACACCTTTTGAGTACGTTCGTATCGCGGAGAATGTTTTATTTCGACTGAATAGTGGCACGCTGGAGTAAAAGGTACCGATATTGACATCATTCTCGCCGAAGGCTTAAAATAGAGATAAGGCATGATGTCACTCGAAGAATTTGCACGCCGATGAATATGAATTTGTAGGCGTATTTCCTCCCGCTATATCCGGTTACACGTGTTTTCAATTGCCCGTACATAAGAACAGAATATCGCGTTCAGTCTCGTGTTCTTTAAACTGTTTCTGGACTATAAACGTTAAATCAACCGTAAAACAACATACGTAACCGAAATATGTTTATATTTTGGGTCTGTTACGATGATTCGGGAAAGAAGAACATACTAAGGTCGTAAACCCACTATTTACTTACTTATTCGCATATTTACTGTTCGTTTTCCAAAAAAAAAAAAAATGAACGAATGACCCAAGCACCCCCATCATAGTATCCCGGGCTGCGAATAAGTATACTGGTTACGAGTTTCACGTATTCGCCGAGGAAGGGCGCCACCAGTCTTCGTTTTCTCTCGCGAGCGTCGATGGTTCCCCCTGTTCAGTGTCGAACGAGACCAGGTGGAGCGAGGACAGCTTATAAACGCAGGCGTGGTGCCGAGGATTTACGATCGATTCCGCGACCCCGTACATACGGAGAGGACTGGTGTTGTCGGAGAAGCGAAGTTTAGTCAGTGTCGTGCCCGGGCGTCGGTCGCAACGGTAGCCTCTCGTGAGTGCGTTTTCGCGAGTGTGTCTTATTTAGCGTCACGAAGTGATTATCGGTCCAAGCTCGATTGGAGTATATAGGGGAAAAGGATCTTGCATGCCAGGAGTAGTCACGGGAGCCTCTCGTCGTTGTTCCCGAGCCGCGGCCAGGGGAAGCTGACGGATTCTCGTCTGTCAGGTAGGTCCATCCTAATCCCTCGTAAACAGGTCCGAATCTCTCGTAACGGACAGAGAAGCGCGCAATTCGAAACGGAGATTTCTTATAGGGTTGATCATTGCGTGTCGTGATTCGAGCTACGGTGCGTCGATGAACGATTAGTCGCGTGCGTTATCACGCGTGCCGCTTTTGCGTTCCACGCTTCGCGTGTTTTAACGGTTTGCCGGGGATCGGCGTTGCGCGTATCACGATGATGCTACAAGATCGATCACTCTCGTCGAATGCCCTGTAAACGGAACGAAACTAATGCAATAAAAGGGGGCCAAACGGGGTGGAGGATGAGAAACGTGTGTCGCAGCAGAGTTACCGGAGAGGGAGGAAATGCAAAAGAGACCGAGTAGGTACACTCTCCGGCCGGTTACCATGGCGACGAGCCATCTTGACACACTACAGGCCCTTTCTTTTCGAACCTTTCGGTTTTCTCCTTTTTCTCGAGCCGCTAACTCCTCCGCTCGAGAGCAGGTATACAACCGGACGTTTTCGCGTTAACCCACTGATTCACGATGTGCCTTCGTTTCGCGTGGAGGTTGGCCCCGTTTTTTTTCCTCTTCTAAATAAAAGCTTGGAACGTGCGCGTCGAATTATATTCAATTTACATGTATTGTGAACCCGCGTATCGGGATATAATTTCCATAGTAATCTTGCGTTTACGCGATCGATCCACGAGCCTGTGTGAAACGATACTATAATTTAACTAGCATGAAATGAAATTAGTTTATCGAAATTACGAAAATTAAGAAATGTATAACAGATTCAGTCGATTGGTGATGCGGATCGTACGACACAGTTTAATGTTTCACGTGTTCCTGAGTGATTTATCGCGCCGGAATATCTTCCACGATTAATTCCTTTAATTACTCGCCCAGTACTGCAGTATAATTTTATTACGCAATTACCCAGGAATAGATCCTAATTTTCACGTATGGAATATTCATATATTCGTGGATATTACGCGGATTAAAGTTCAATCGGACCGTAAATTATCGTTTTCGTTTGTGATTTTAAGACTCGAATAGTTTCGGTCGATACGAAAATTGATCAGAAATTTCGAAATTCCATCGGAAATGTGGTTTTACGAAGAAGTCGTTTTGTCGTCGACTAGATCATTTTCAAACTGTTATCGCCGATTAAAACAACGTCGGATTTCAGCGTGTCGCGAAAGATAGTGACGTTATCTTACCTCGCCGGGCTATCGTTATTTTTCTAACGACGACGCCGGTTACGTGCGCGCTTAATCCACGTATCGCGAGTTCACGAGTGTACGCTCGATCTGGCGAATTTCCGTCTTCGTTAAATCCATCGGGGAACACACCGATATCGATCTTTCAGATTTTATCGGGCATAATGGGGATGCAGGAAGCGCGAACGACACGGAACAAATACACTGGGTTTCGTAACGCTTTCGGCGAACGATAGGAATTACCAAACAAAAAATATCACCGGTCTGGCGTAGTTGATATAACAATCGAACGGTACCTGCGGCGGTGTGTTTGTTCCTCCGTGCATTTCGTAATATAATGTAAATTCGAGCGTGATATGGAACCTCAACGGCAGTCGGCGATGCGTGACGAGCGTGTCTAATGCGTGTATCTCTGGCGTTCAAACATCGAAAGACACGCGTTCTTTTTGTTCGCGTACGTGCCACGCCTGGGACCGTTCGGTCGATACGTCCTTTGGCTATAATCCGTGAAACTCGAAAAAAAAGTATAATATACAATGCCCCTCGGTGATTTCGATTGCTCTAGAAACAATTTCTTCGAGAAATTCTGATCTTTCCTACAGGAGAGTTGCTATAGATACGAGCCTCGTAGCGTTCACGTGATCTTGGGGTAACTAGTAATTTATTATCATTCATTTAAGAGAGTGGTTTGGTCAATATTTCTGAAACGGGCCATTAGTCACTGAGAATTTGTCGCGTAGTTTGCGGACAGACTGTGTGTACACTGTGATCCAATGAATCCTGCGATTAGGACTGTCTGGACCAGAGATGGGTGAATTCACTATCTAAAAAGCTTCGAATAACGACTTTAAGATAAACAAAAAATTCATGAATTTTAATTGATTGAACCGTGGAATTCCAATTTTTATAATAAAATAATATTTCTTCTTGAATAAGTAGATACTTGGAGAACAATTATTTAATCTTATTATTAATGTTATTAGATCTTAGATACTTCTCAATATCTATTAGTCGAATAAAATTGTGCCCAACTCTGATCTTTGACCTCTAGAGACAAGGCTCACCGGACCCAATTACAACCGATCCCTCGTTGATTCTTATCGTTCAGTCGCAAACAATATGAATTCATCGTATTTTCCTCCAACAAAACTCCACTCTCTCAGAACTTGTTTCAGGCCCAGTCAGTCTTAAATTTTGTCTTGTCCGTTCGTTATCTTCGGTTCCAATAACGACAATGCAGCTCGGAAGACATTCACGGCAATTCTAGCCGGTTACTGGCCCTCTTTCGAGAAAGTACGCGTTCGTTCCAGCGATAAATTGCTCCGAACGATGGAGCACAAATTGACACGGGACGTGTGGGCGTTTGCGTCGCAAAAGACATAAGCTCGCGGGAATCCTATTTAACATTTCGCACGCACACACATGCGTCCCCCGGTCGAACTCGATCGGATACACGCTCTCTGCTGTATCGTTACATAAATTTCGACACGCGCAAGGAGTTAAAAATACACCAAGCCAGAAACGAAACACAGGCATCATACTGCTTCGAAATGGAAAACGTTTGTCGAGCCGTGTCGGTATCGTTTTTGCCGCTCCACCGAGAATAGTTGCCAAGCTTCCGAACAGGGGGTCTCTATAGAAGGGATTATTCGGTGTAAGCCGATCTTTTTTACACGCACATCATGTGCTTTAACGCATTGATACGATTTTTACGATAAATTCGACGCACATTCAGCGTCAAGCCTATTTCGGTTGACTTTCGTTGCGACATGCACAGTGCAGAATCAGAATTTGGGAGCTCAAACTGTTACAAATTTATTTTCCAATTTATCACCAACTGTGGAAGAATTGTTCCATACGTTATTGTTCTCTAAATTTCGTACTTTCGTGGAAACGTTGGTGACACTGTTATCGAATGATGATGATGTCATCGTGGACTCTTTTTTTTTCATTTTATCCACTTCTACGTGTAATTTCGTACTTTCGTGGAAACGTTGGTGACACTGTTATCGAATGATGATGATGTCATCGTGGATGACTTCTTTTTTTTTCATTTTATCCACTTCTACTTAAATAAAATTTTGATTCTGTTTTACGTTACATTTGAATCTGTATTACGTGACGGTCACTGGTGGCCGACGCGACGGTAATAGTGTTAAAAAAAATGTTTTATGCCAAAGAACGACGTGTAGAATATTCCGTGTAGATTGTGAGTGGATTCGCGATGCCCACCGTTGACCGTTACCGTTCGTAACCAGTGTGTAGCGAGGTCGACCTCGTGGGGTTACAGACGCAACGGCGCCCACGTATACTCACCGTCCCCCATCCGCCACTTTACTCCTCCGATGATCAATGCCGATACTCTTTAATACATACCTACCATTTCATCGTCGAAGAATACGATATCCTCTCAGTGAAAAGAAAAGTAGGTTACCATCCAGTCGAATATTTTTCTCGATCTTTTCTGCCAGTTGAAGTGGAATAACAATTACAAAATTTCCTCGAGGACGACGAGCGTGTTTTCAGCGATGCTTCGCGCGACGAAGCAGGGAATGTTTCGGGATGATATCACGGGGCTCAAGGTCTAAACTTTAAATCGTATGGTAGGTGTTTTAACTGCTCGATGACGTCAGACCACGCGCTACCGTGGGCAAAAAGACTTCGGACGTGGGTGTTGGGGAACGAGAGGAGGCCTGAGCGTAGCGAAGAAGAGTCGTAAACATTTAGTCTGTACGGGGTGTGCTAGGAACTTTCTGGCAAACGTGTTGCACGATATACAGGGTGTTGGAAAAAAATTTGGTGACTTAGAGAACTCATTGAGCGGAGTGACAAAGGTTGTAAAAATCAATCCTTTCGATGTAGAATCAATTTTTTGATTTTCGAACGTTCGATGTCGCGAATCATTATGTGACATTATATTATGTAAACAGAAGAATGGGTTGACTAATACATTCATTCAAGGTTGTATGACAAACGGGCAATACGAGATACGGACGGAATATTTTAAGGACGTATCGAACTTCTGTCACGAATGTGAAAATAAACTTCTGTATTTTTCATCGAAAGCATTGATTGAAGGACCTATGTTGACTGGTCATTTTTTCACCTCCAGTTGGTGAGTACTATAAGAACCTAGATTCTTAGACCTTTTTTTCAATACCCTGTGTACATCGAAATAAAAGGAGATTTAATGAAGGCGAATCCAAAGCAAAAATGCAGTAACAATGAACGGAATAAAATCAAATTGTAGTATTGTAGACTGTTTATTAAACATCATCCAACACGATGTTAAGTATACACACATGTATGTAGACCATCAGTGGATTGAGAACTTGGAACGTATTCCGCAGAACGAGAAGACAATTGAATTAAAACTCAATCTTGTTTACAAAGTAGGAGAAAGGTGTGCGCTTCGTTTTCCCTGTTGGACAGTATTAAACAGAGTTGTCAATGTGGAGAATTCTGTCATTCTTTGTCGAGCCCTTGGTACTGGAAGAATCTCCGGGATTCAATTTGTATCTGTTTCCTTTGCCTTTGTCTTCGAACACCATTCCCTTGACCCTTCTGACCATCTTTGGTCGCCATGCCGGACCACAGCTTCTATCAGCTATCTTTTACCTCCCACCAAGTCCGTGAAAAGGTCTTCTTGGAGGTCCTTGAAAACTCCTTGCGGTTTAGTGCTACTCCTTTGACGAACCACCGAAGGCTCTCAGGTTCCTTTATCCTTAAATGGTGTCTCGAGAGACCAAGCATTTATCATCGAAAAATCCAAGTTATTTTTATCATCGTACCAAATTTTAATTATTTCGAAATTATCTTTATAATAAGATAAAATTTAAATTATCTGTATCTAAGACACTCGCCTTTTATCTAGTTTTATAATAACCAACTAGGTCCTACTTTTGCACCCATTAATAGGTTCAGTTCATACACTTGTCTTTTACGATATATGACGATAAAGACATTATTACTGTATCAAAAAATGCGTACATAATCCTTCCCTACAATTTCCGTAGCGGCACGTGATCCACCAATGGCAGTGTAGTCGCTCGATTTCTCTCGTTAAACGAGCGCGTAACACTCGTGCATTATCGTCGTAGGATCGATTCCTTCGTAACCGGCTGCATCGGGATGAGAAAAGTCTCGTGACCGTGGCACGGACGACAACGAACGGAACCGGTTTCAAACCCAGGCCTCGACTTCGTTTCTCTATCCTTTCGGTTTCTTTCGTTGCCTACACGTTGCGTGAAACTCTGCCTTCACCCTTCGTTCGTGTGTGCCTTTTTTCTTTTACGTTTTCGCTCGAACGAACTTCGGGGAGGAAGAATCGATCGCATAAGAGAGTATAGTTCGCGACGCCGCAACGCCCAGGTATTTCGGGCCGTGCACCGTTTCACGTTTGGGAATACGGTATTCTCTGTTCGACAGGGGATTCTTCTCGTTTGATTCGTTCAATTCAAACATCGAGCAATTATTCGTTTTTGCGTGGTATTCGGTTCTTGAGGGTGTAACCACAACGTTAATGCGTTTTCCTATTTTTCTGTATATCTTGAACATTATAGTAGATACCAAAAAGTAGTTAAAATGAAAATTTAATGGCTTCTTATTCTCTATAAAATTGTCTAATAAAATTGTTAAAAATTCATTTCTTGTTTATTTATTTATTTAAAAAAAAGCAAATTTTTAACAATTTTATTGCACAGTTTTTTAAAGCAAAAAGTCATTAAATTATCCATGTAACAGTTTTTTTATACCTGCTATAGTTTTCAAGATATATAGGAAAATACACATTAACCTTTAAGGGGTGGTTCCACCCTGAACAATCGAATATCAGCAATAACGAAAAATTAGAAATAATAACTCGCAATAACTATGTGATCTCATATTTCATTTCATTACTATTATTGCCTAAGTGACTGCAATTACCCCCTTTCACCCTAACCGTCCGTGTATTCCGTAGATATCTTCTTCGAACAGAGAAGTCGAGAGACAAACTGGCTGTCCGATTACACACTCCGCGTATTTCGAACGTACGCACGCGTATATAAGCTTTCTGGGCAATTAACCCGCGAAGTGTACCGATACACACGCAATGATCTACGAGCTTCGTGTTTATCCGATAGAAATACGAGAGATCCACGCTAATTGTCCGGAAAAGAGCTCCACTCGAGTGAAAAAGAAATTCACGCAGAACTGCACAGAGCAAGAGATCGTAAAATTTTTATTACACTTGCCTCTTTTATATCTTTTTTACGTATCTATTTCCAGCTCACTTCGTTGTCACGAAACACGTACACTGGCAATCGAACATCCATATTAACAATTTCCTGGTCGTGTACAGGGAATAATTGTATAGTGTTTTAGATAGCTTCAGAACGGTACAATTTGTTCAGTTGTATATTTCGTCGCGTGACGCGTTTCGTCTGCGTCGAAAAATATCGATTAAACGGCTTTCTTTTATGCCAGATCCGTAGGGGTTAGCCCTCGAAGGGTAAGAGGGTCACCATTTTCTGGGGTGGTGGCAAATAATCGTCCGGCGAATGGGGTGGCAGTCCTTGGTCTCGAGACGTATTCCCTGGTTTATCGTTTCGCAAGGTCGCTTCTACGTTGCAGACCGGTTTTTCCTGGCAAACAGTCCAACTTTGTTTGATCTGCGCAGCTAGAGGACGAAGTTCCTTTCGGAGTTCCATGGAAACAGTGTAGTTCATGCGTTCGGACCGTCCGAGTGAGAATGGACGGTTTTTTTTAAATATTTTCCGGTTAGAACTTTTATATATTTGTCATAGTGTTATACTACGAAGAATAAGCAATCCTTCTGGAGTTTAAAGATAGGCTACCCGTCTTCCACGGGTTAATTAGTCGTCTTTTAGGCTCCGAGGGCGTGTGTGCGCGTTAACGCAAGAAAAATTATCAAAGTGAACGACATGTACTATTTGTTTCCGTCGATACACTGTTATTATATCGACACGGTTATCGAATATAATTCCGCAAATTGGCGTAATAGTTGACGCCTATACGAGCGGTTCGCAAAGGAAGAAAGTTAGCCTCCTCCCGGTAAATCACCGTTAGCTAATCGCGTTTTCGTGCTGGCCGTGATATTAATCGATTCTCCGGTTTCACGGCTTTTACGAATCGGTCGATATCCTCTGTTATGCTAAATCCCTCGGAAGTCCTCTTTAATCCTGATTAACTTACTCTACTGAATCCTTTTTTTTTTTTCTCCACTAGCAATAATCTTATAATTTTCCTTTACCTTCCATAATTACCGAATTTCTCATCATATATTAACCACTGAAGAGGACAACCATATCCATAAATTTATTGGCTGATTCGATAAATTGGATCACTTGAACCATATTTGTATTATATTACGTGCCTTATTTTATATTGAAATCTGCTTTATTCCTGAAACGTGTCGGCATTACTTACGATAATAATGCCTGTTATTATACCGTACAAACCACGTACACGATGAACGCGTACAGTGGGGTCTTTTAGTTGAGAATGTCGTTTAATACGCGTACAATTAGTATAATTACTTCCCAGAAATAACGTCGAGCTCGAAGCTGTTAAATCTAATCGATCCCTCGTATACCTAACAACACATTCTTTCTAAACAATGATTTTCATATGCCACGTTTTTTTTTTTTTTTTTTTTTACAGCGAAGGTAGGGAAATGGTACGGGTCTCGTTGCTCGGCTCACAACCTTCACCGACAACGCCCGGCGTATTTCAGGTGCAGCCTATCGCGATATCGAGGACTCAACCGATCGACATGGACGCCGTTCCGGCCGAACTCCTGACCACGCACACCGAGCACACGGCTCCCGCCTACCACACGCAAATCAGGTAATCTTTATCTTCTTTTTATTTCCCTCCACCGTGTTTGTCACGTGTACAACTTGCGATCCTCTCGGCCACATCGACGACGAGTATAATTATGGGCACAGTGTCGGAGATTCAACTCAACAGCTTTCGATAAATAATTTTAGTTAGTTAACATGAATTTTGAAGGAATAATCGACGTCTGTAGATAGTCTACTCCAGGGACTTTTAGGTAAAATAAAAGAAGATGATGTGTTGACAGTACGACTTATTGCTGGGTCAGTAATAAAGGTAATTGGAGCGCGAATTATTTATCATTGTTAATGGCGTATCAAACATTTTTTTTTAGCAAAAGGTGGAGTATAGACACAGCTTACTTTTCTAATAAAGAAAAATAATTAAAAATGTAAGCGAAAGGTCGAAGCTATCAACAAGAAGAAACTATAAGAACTACCGAATGCTGTTCACTAAAGATTTTTACGTAAATTTAGAAACTACACAAAAACGTTTTTGTGCGATAATCACCCGCAAATTTCGATCTGTCCAACGTGTCGCTGGTGGATTTGAGAGCCTCTGTCTCTTTCTTATAATTAGCTCCCTTGCCCGCAACACCAATGACCCCCGTGTTGCTGCTGCTGCTGCTCTTAATGGACCGGAAGTGACGTATCGTCCCCTCGGTGTCTCCTCTGTCTTTCTCTGTCCTTCCGTCGCGTCGAACTCGGCACCGTGCTACCAATTTATTTACGATTCTTCGGGACCACTGTGCACGCGGTAGAATGTAGTTCGCCGATGGTGTACACCTATATGGTATAACCTGAGTGTGCATAACCGTTACGCGTTCGCCGGCGCGTGCCTCCCGCGTCGCGACGCGATCGGCTTATGAATCTCGCTGGTCCGTTGCTCGATCGAGTTTTTGCCCTCTACGTTTCGTACACCACTTACAAGGAGACAAAAAAGTATTCCTACACCTGTGATTATATCATTTGATACTGGCTCTTAGTACAGTAACATTAAATATTTCATAAACTAATACCCATACAGGACTAAATCAAATATCATTGCGTTCAGAAATCCAAGCTTTAACAATGTCCTAAACCTCATTAAAAAGTCAGTTCATCCTTTTTGGATTATGGTAGTCGCAGTGGCCCTCCCCAAATCTATACAGTAAGACGCTTTAATGCGTGTTGATCTAGTTACTTGGAAATTTATGTAATGCTTTATTATTTTGTCAAGTTTTTAATTGTTGTAAAGCAAATTCCTTTGCACTTACATTTTTCTTTTTCTTGTTTTCCTCGAGACACAACCATCGATTGAAAAATATATATAAGATAGAGTATGAGAAAAGTGGGGGGCAGTATTCCTCGATCGATGGTCTCTCTCTCTCTCTCGGAGTGCAACGTCCCGGCCGTGCTGCTCGTTATGTCGCGCATCTTTTTTCTTACCGCGTGCCTCCCGGTTCGGATGATACACGACGGGTTGTGTGCTGCCTTTAAATAGCCTGTGACCCTCTTACGCAAGTCAGTATGCACGCTTAATAGGTGTATCAAACGTTACGAAGGCGTATTACGAAGTCGCGACGACGCCACTGTCGCCGCAAGCAACAACCTATTCGGTAATCGAAAGAGAGGAGGGCAGGCCTCGATTCCAGAGACGCAATTTGGATCGCGTGGAGGCTGAAGCCGACGAGCACCGTGTACTCGAAGGGAGGGGAACGCTGTGTTTGAACTGGGGAATCTTCGTTCAAGGACTCTGGGAATAGGAACAATATAAATATTGTCACAGAATATCCATTCTGGTTGTGTTTGTACAATAGTGTAAGAAAGAGCGGGGGGCCAGAAAATTAAACACCAATTTCCACCGTCCTTGAATCGGAGCGCGCAATTTTCCGCGCGCTAATAGAACACCGAGCGTGAAGTGGTACTTCGACCACGGCGCCATTCTCTTTCGATATCGCACGTTCCTTCTTGTTCCGAACGATGTAACATAGTGTTTCAGCGAAAAAGTTCTGGGCACGTGAAGTGGATTCAGGGAAACTGGGTCGTTGTACTTGTTTGCCCCGAAAATCGAATCCTGGTGGTGTCGGAGCTCAGCTTCTGGTAGATTGCAAAAGAATATAGAAAGCAGGATAGAATGCTGATAAAGTTTTTCTCATCGGGTTCCTGTATCGAACAAATTGCAATATCATGGATTTATCGTAACGCGAAACGTCAGCCTCGAACGAGCGAACAATGTGGTAGATTGTTCGTAGCGAGACCGCGGGACAGACAATCGACTCTGGTTTACCGATTTACGCGCAATTAGCTACCGGGCGACCTTTTAGCCCGCGAGAACGACTTACGTAACTCCGTGGTTCTCTGCGTATTACCTGTTGGAAATCGAAGCCTTTGAGACCAATGAGGATGTTTCCTTTTTCTTGTTCTTTTATACAACTTTTAGAGCTTTAGCTTATCGCTATCTTATGCTTGTCATTTTGGATCATCACTTTGTTGTTTTGGGTAACTGTGCGTAACTTTGCACTCAAACTGCCAGTGTGGCTGGCACAGCAAGTAAAATCAATCTACCCCAGCTACCAGCTGTACTGTCAACACATTATCTTCCTTTGTTTTACTAAAAATAAAATGAATTTGTAGCTGATATCGTTACTTGATTGACAAAATATCACTTAAAAATCCCTGGAGTGGACTGCCCACAGGGGTAAAAAAAGCACGGAGCGCAAAGGATTAATACATTTCAACCGTTTCTGTCTCTTGGCTATTATAAGGATTGTATCCTACCGACGAGGATACAGATATTCCGGATCAGCGTTTTGCAAAAGGTATATATGTACACAGGCCCGGCCATATCCCGCAGTTTCCTTTCCCATTGTCCTCCTTAGCCCGCCGGTTACATGGCAATCCACTCCGACAACTCTCTTCCCTTTCTCCCAGTGGCAATTAGGCAAACGCTTTTAAAACACCCACGGAATATCCAGCATTATTGATACGAGCTAATACAAACTTGCATCGTGGAGGAATATCGAGTCGGTTACTCTGTCAAGGAGTATCGTTGGATCGGTGGAGCTATATCGGTAGACTTCGATTAGCCAGATTGACAGGGATCGCCATTAAGCCTAACCTTCTTTCCGGACATTTCTATCTATTCTCAATTCTCCGTAGAATAGATGCACGGTACAGCGTAGATAGGCGGTCTGTTTAGTTAAAATATTATTGTCTAGCTTGTTCTACACGATTATTGTCTATGTTCATCTAATTGTGATCGTTCAATAACCGTACAAATTTGTTTGCCAACACAAGGGATATCTCGGAATTATTCAGCAGTCGTATTCTACATTCGATCGTGTGCTCCCAAAAGCCACCTCAGCAACGGTAAAGTGTCGTGTCCGTGAAACCTTCGGTCCCAACCGGCGGGGGGGGGGGGCTAGCAGTACTCCCGCGAAAACGTTACTCGAGCGTGCAGCATTATAACGAAGCAACATTGCTGGGTAACCTTTCCTACGAAAGAATGTCAAACCGGTAGTAACCGCAACGGATCTCGATGGTAGACAGAACCCACCCACAATTGGGGACCAACACACACCGCGATCGACCCCTCTGGCTCGAACTTGAAGGGGGTTTCGGTAACGATGCCAGCACCACGGTGTTAGGGAGCGGCCTACGATGCCGTCGTGTTCTAGTACCCAATGTACAAATAGCACATCGGCAATGATACTATTAACGGTACCACCGCCATCACCACCACCACGAGAACAGGCACCTAGGCATGTACTAGAGGCGGTGGCGGAAAAGGGTGAGAGAGAGGGGGGAACAGAGGGAAGAGTGAGAGAGAGGTGGCGGGTAGGAGAGGAGGAACGATCGATATAGCGTGGGTGGATGTGCAGAGGTGCGGTAGGACAGCCGCCAGTTGTGCTGTCGGCTGCATCAGCGAAGAACCCCCCGTGTGCTCTCGATATATCGGGCCTCTCGCAGCGTTCCTTCTCTTGTCTTGTACGTGTGACTCGCGTGTGTAACATACCGGAATGCATGGAACCCCCTAAATGGGGATAGGCCGTCGTCCCAGTTGGATACGGGGCGCTAGTATTTGGGACACGCGTCGTCGTTCCGATCTCGGTGAATTTTCGAACGATGACGTTGCGGTATTATTGTACCTGGTGTACCAGCGTGTTCTTTGCTCTGTTGTCCCGGAAGTGTGGTAGCCGAGTTAGTGGCGGTTGATCCTTGCACGCAACGGAGTATAACATTTTTGGAGCCGGTGAACTGGGATATTTTTTTTCTTTAGAAACTCGTCGCGCTATATGTCTTGTTTAACCGATATTTACGCGTTAGCTTGCTTGGCGAACAATGATTGTTTTTCGGTTCCGGTTTGGAACGATTGAAAGATATCGTAGATCGCGTGCTGCAGATTCCACAGTGGTCCAGAATCAAAATTTTTTTATTCTTATGTTAGAAATCTAGGTAATAATCTTTTGACCCAATTATTGAATAATAAAGTGCACTAGTCTATACGTTGGTAATATAGATTTCTTCTCATGTAGTATATTATCATTTAAATGTAAACTATTTCAATTGGAGTATCATGGAAACCTTATCACAGGTATAACATAATACGCATAAATAATGAACAATAATAAAATTTAACAGATCATACGCTTATTTTGTTCAAACAGCCAACAACTTTGAAACTTATAAATTTTAGGTAGATAGAAATATATAAAGGAAGAAATTCTCATTCTTCTTTTTTGGTGACGTCATCATTTACTAACAAGTGTTCCCAATGTCTTCATGAAAGTCTCAATCTTTAGGGAATTGTTTGTTTCGAAATTTGTTGAAATTTATGATTCTGGACCTCTTCTGCCTCGACGATGAACCGATTTGGCAACCGTTTCCTCGCTTCCTGGCGGACCCGTTTGTAACACTGAATATATCAAGCTTTATCGTGTAACTCGTAGGATGATTATACGCGAATAACGACGCGATATTTCGCGTTGATCGACGTCTGCATAGTTTCTCGAGCCGCGGCTGTGTACG